AATTACATTAATTAACTTTACGAAAATGTAATAATAAAAATAATAAATATTAAATTAATATTTAATATAATTAATAAATATTTAATTCAACTATATAATTTTCTCACAGTTTAATATAATAGTTAAACTATATATATAAAAAATATATACCATTTTATAAAATTAATTTTTTTTGTCGAAAGTGACGCGTCTTATGACGAAAAGAAACTATTTAAAACTTAAACGGGTTCGAATAGAAATGAAAAGGCAACAAGAAAAATTTCAGTTAATTTATTGAATATACCATTTTATTTACATTTAATTTTTTTAATATAATGTAATGATTATGATGATTTTCTTAAGCTTTCTTTTTTTTCTTTTCAGTCATGTTATTAATAATACTACCAACTGTGATTAAAGGTAAATAAAATGGATTTCTATCTAGAATATAATATATTATTTCTAAAAAACATACTAGTATGGTAATTTAATAAAATAAAATCAAAAGTATCAATACAATAAAAATATATTTGAGTTCGACTTTGGCAGCAATATTTGATGAGAGGTATGGAAAAATTTTCTATATCTTTTTATTATTATACAAAGATGAGACTTGGGTTTATCATCTTCATCCTGAAATAAAACATGTAGATCTATTTAAAAAGAGCAACATATGTTTAACTAGAAAATGAAAAAGAAAAATCCAACTGGGAGGATAATGAATATTGATTTACTGCAGTGGCTGTTATGTTGCACTTTTATTTCCTTCTATATTTGGACATACTATAAATAAGAAAAAAAATAACCAAAAATTTGTAAAGATTTTATTTAATGATATAAAAGAAAACTATACCAGCTTCATTATAGAATTTATAAAATGTTTTAAGTACTTAATTGATCAATAAAAAAATGGGTAAGATTGTTAAACGCCTAATAGCATCACATTTTGAAATTTACGAATATTCACTTCTTATTTGCAAAATGAGTACAGTAGTATATAGAATCAGTTCTATACAACTTTAATAAATATCACTATTTATTAAACAATATATATGTATAATATATCGAATCGAGAATGGTTACTCCTCTCGGCTCCTCGGGGAGGTATGCACATCTGAAATCAATTATTGCTTAATCTGATGAAGTTATAAACAATAATCCAGTCAAGGTGTAAAGAGGGGTTTTGAAAATACCTCGAGTTAAGAAAGAGTAAAAGTGCATTAGCTCA